GGGAAGTGACAGCTAGGTATCTCAATTTTCGAAACAGTGATATGTAGTCATCTGCCATTTTTATGTGGTAAAAGTGTGATTAAAAAATTCTCTAAAATATTACAACTTTTTTCAAAGAGCCTTTTCCGTAATAAATGTCTCTGAGCAGTGTGGGAAAAGATTTACGAAATCAGTCATCCCCCTGCATGATATTGGGTGACAGGCTGCCATTTGTCATCGTAAATCACATACATTTTTCAATTTCTTGTTATTCAACTTATTCTGAATATAAATTAAAAATGCTCTTTGAAAAAATTAAGAATTTTTTCTACTTTTTTTTGATTATTCATTCCTAATTTTTCAAAACTTCTGCAAGATGCAGGACTGAATTGACAATTTCAGATGACGAGAGATGAAGAAAAAAATCGAGATAACGTTCGACAGATAGTACACCCCGGCGTTAATTGAAGAATTTTGAGAATGCCTGGATGAAACCCAGAGGAGAATTAAACAATCATGAAGTGACTCCAGTACTGACTTGATTCATCAAAAAAATCATAACAATTGACAGTCATCTAATATCTGCAACTATATAATAATCATTGTACATAATATTACATAATATTATCCCCTATAATGAATATTCTAGCTAACAAAGTTGCTTTCATTACAAAAATGAAAAAAAGGTAATTGAAGAGTTATTTATTTAAATGGATTTTTGTGGGAAATTTCAAGTATGTATTTCATTTTTTTCCGATTTAGAAAACAGATTACAGGAGATAATCGCATAATACCATCGACAGATAACATCTCAGTTAATAAAATATCTCATTTAGACAAAGTAAAGAACCTCAGAACTGAGTGCTATTCGTCATTCCCAGCTCAAACCGTTAACCGTTCAACCGTTTATTGAGAATCGAAAATATTTTCTCCTATGAAAACACTTCATTCTCATTCCAAGAAAAGAATGTTTTTGAATTGCATGTGACATTTATATCACAGTTATCCAAGTGAAATAATTTTTTTCAAGTGGAACTATCAGAGCCGTTTAGGACACTTAACAGTCTCTTTAGCATCGTACGACAATGTCCTTGGCCGAGATCAACGAATAATTTGTACAGCAATTGAGATGAGGCAATTGAAGGATTTCCTATAACCCCTTTCATCTAAAAATCTAGAGGAAATATTTATTCGGTCTCACGAACTAGAAACTCTTCGGAAAAATAATGGAAAATTCTGAATAATTCTCATATTATGTCATCAGGCGATAAAAGTATTAGCTGGCGAATGTGGCTTTGTAATCCGAGCCGAAGGCGAGGATTATAATCACATTCGTCAGAAACTACTTTTATCGCCGTGTGACATACGATATTTTATGTTATTGGGCCCAAAATCCCAACTAATGACATAAATATTTTTATTCACGAGTATTGGACTGGCTAAATAACGTTGAGGGCGCTCTTTATTTCGTAAATATGGTCGCTCTGAGGCGCTCATATACACTGAGAAAAAATTATTCCTGCCAAGGATTGATATTCTCGTCAGAAGATAATATTTTTTCAGAACGAATTTTTCCAGGACAGTCATTTTCAGAGAGTCCAAGTCTATCCTCAAAAATTACAGTGATGTTGAACAATCTGATTATTATGCTACATATGACCTTGACAAAATGTTCTCCGATATCTTCCGGATTTTACAAATTGGCGATTTTCTCAGGTAAAGAAAATTGGAATAATTCCAAATGTTAATAATTATTATTGGAGTTTCTTCGAGGTCATATGCAGAAGAATATTCTTATAGATCACCATAATTCTCACGATTGGAAATGATTTTGGAGCACCTGGAAATGACTGGCCTGGAGAAATACGTTCCAAAAGAGATATTTTCTTCTACTAAGAGTATGAAAAAGATATCACTAATAACATTTTCTTGGGAGGAATAAATTTTTTTCTCAGTGTACGCGCATGCAAGCTCAAAATTTGGTTGTGTTGTGTATGTGAGCCCCCGAGCGCCTCAGAGCTTATGTGGCGTGTCTTATTTAGCGAGCCCAATATTCCTATTCAGGCATATAAAATTATGAATTATGCGTGAATTCATGAGAACTGCGCAAAATAAAACACATCTACTTATCACAATTCCGATGTGAATCTTGTCTTTTATACTCATAATATTAATAATTTCAATGAATATAAAATGTTCATACTTTCCAATGTACAAGAAATGTCTATCTCTTTTTGTGTTTTGATCTCTATTGGACTCGGTACATTGTCATAACTTTCAACAAAATATGTCTGTAAATACCAGGCTGAAGACCTTCGGGCGATGGCCAGTCGCAAAACTCTTGCGGCAAATCGCGTTAAAAATAAATAAAAAATAAGATACTCGTATGATATTTCTATCGCCCTACAAGCGACAAATAAAAATTGACTGTTTTAAACATTTATGTAAAATCAAATTTTTTTTGTTTGAATTTTTCATTATCCAATAAGTGACTACGACTACATAAATCTCGCATTAGAATCAAATAAAACTCTACATTTTCGTTGGCAATTAACGAACTTACAGTTACTCCAATGAAAATGTTTATAATTATATGAAATAAATAATAAACGGTTCATTTGATTAAGTTCGGTCTCTTCCCTTCACTGAGAAAAAATATATTTTCGCGAATTATCCATTTACTTGAAAGAAATATTAATTTTTTTAATACTGTATTTCTCCAGTCGAGTCATTCCCAGGCAATCTTTATTAGATTTCAATTATGATAATTATATTGCTCTAGAAGGTGATCATGTTAGTTACACCTTGAATAAACGCCCTCAATAATTATTAACATTATTAATATATTAATTAGGAAAAATGAATAATCATTAGAGGAGTTTATCCAAGGTCATGTGTAACAGAGTCATCCTCTGGAACAACATGATTGTCATAATTGAAACCTAATCAGGCTCACCTGAGAATGACTCGATTGAAGAAATACGATTTTGAAAAAATAAATGCCTCAAGTAAATGAATCCCCATGAAAAAATATATAAGAAACATATATAATAAAGGCCAATGTCATATATTCTTCGAATATATAAGATTTATATAAAATATGTATGAAACATATATAAATTTACATTTTATATAACTTTTATATATAAATCAGGCCAATGCCATATATAAAATATATAATTTTCAGGATATATATTTTTTCGTATGCGAATATTTGGTGAAATAGTATATTTCAGCACGTGTGGGGCAATTTCGTCTTTAACGTGTATGGGGTTTACAGCATGAGCCGAAGGCAGTTGACTATAGTCAACTGAAACCCGAAATAACGCATGACGCGCATGCGCATCACCTATTAAAAGAGAATAACAAGGAAGGAAATCTAACCTCCGAATACTGAATACATGGAATGACTGAAAAATGAAAAGGTGATTTTCGAAGCAGATAAAATGAGCCAAAATCGTATAATTCCTGATAGTGATGAAGAGTTAGGCAGTGAGGAGAATTTATTTACTGATGAGGAGGAGTTTATTGGTGATGTGACATTTGAAGAAAATGGAAATAAAATATTCTCCGATTTTTCAATTACGTTTTGTATCATATTTTTTTATAATTATAACTTTCTTTTTTTTGCGAATTCTTAATGATTTTTAAAAATTGTATTTTGTAATTATTATAATTAATTTTTTTCAATTAAAAATACTTTACAAGTTTTTTGAACTACATATTTAATGAATATAATTAATTTTTTCTTCAGAAGTTCCCAATAATTTTTAAATCACACTTTTTTATAATTATTTTTTAAAATAATTTTGTGATTTTTTTTCTTCAGTGAAGCGTCGAGTGTGTAATCCAGCCGGTTTCAGGCATGAGTGGCGTAAAAGTGTTTTTTGGCGAGTGGGAGGTTTATATCACGAGCCGAAGGCGAGTGATATAATCCCACGAGCTAAAAAACATTTTTTCACGAGTTACGAACAATATTTTCCATCACAATGTGGCGGAAATTGGACTTTTAGGCATGCGGAGCGTGCCGAAAAGTTCACTTTTCGTCACAGCGTGATGAAAAAATATTTTCTGATGAATGTGATTATAATTCTCGCCTTTGGCGAGGAAAAGTGTTTTTTGGCACGTGGGATTATATCACTCGCCTTCGGCTCGTGCTGTAAACCTCCCAAGAGTTAAAAAACTCTTTTATGTCATCAGGCCCGATAAATCGCGATTCTAACCTCGCTTCGCTCGGTTAGATCGCGGTTCTCGGGCCCAACGACATAAAATAGCGTATATCACACGGCAATAAAAGCATTATCTGGCGAATGTGATTATAATCGAGCCGAAGGCGAGGATTATAAAGCCACATTCGCCAGATAATGCTTTTATCGCCTAATGACAAAATATACTATTCCGCACTCGTAACGAAATATACTATTTTTCTCAGTGTTCCTCTCATTCGAATTATCAATCCAACTTCCAATTAAAAAATTATAGTGATTTCAAAATGAAACACGTCTACTGTATCAATCTGGTGCGATTCCGATCCGTTATATTCACAGAATTCATAGTTTAAAAGAATATAAGATGTTCTATAATATTTCCATCGTCTTTCAAGCGATAAGTTAAAATTGATTTTTTTATCATTCAATAAGTGACTACGCCCAGATGAATTCCGCATTTGAATCAAATAAAACTGTACTTTTTCGTTGACAATAATAAACTCTTACATTTACTTCAATTAAAGATATTTTAATTACATTGAATACATAATAAACGGTTCATTTGATTGAAATGAGAATTATGATCTGTTAATGAATTCGTTCTTTTCACATCATCTCATTTGAACCATCAAGCCAACGACTAATGTGAAGATATCTTCACGCGAAAAGTCGACTAAACCCCCAAAATCAGTAATGACATCCAGCATTTCACACCCAAGATTAACTGGTTCAAATGGGATTTTAGGAATGAATGCGATTTTAATAGGAAGCTGAGGTGGATAAAACTCGTAATTTCCAGTCTCACTGCCCACAATGGCTCATTGTGTCATGATATTCTTCGTCATCTCGGTTATCTTCCTTTATACAAGTAAGCTAGCCAAAGTAATTTTCTAATTTGCGGGATTATTGCAAGGGTTCCTTCATTTGCCGGAATTGATTCATTGAATAGAATCTAATCATCAAATTTTGGACGGCTTCTTTCTCACGGACCGGCAATTAGCATAACTTGATAAACGATCCAATCGTTTTTAGACTATTTGTTACTATCAAAGATTTGTAAACAATAAATGAATCTCCCGAAGATAAAAAATGATGAAATGAAAATGTTACGTTTACTGTAATTTGCGAATTTCACCGTTTTCATTGCAATTCAATGTTTACATAGCATGCTGCGCAATCCAATGCTATCAATGCGACAGTTTCAAAGACAACAACTGTACCGAAAAGGAAGTGGACCTCAGATACCTTCAACATTGTCCCAATACCCATAATTACTGTCGAAAAATAATTTCCGCATGTAAGTTTAATCTAACAATTGGAGTTTTGCATGAAATTTCTTTATTGCTGTATATGGAAACTTAATGAAAAACATTGAACGTCTATTTTCTAATTTCGATAAATAATAACAAATTATCAAATTAAAATTGTTGATGTTTTCTTTTAAAAAAAAGTCTAGTATATATTTTTTTAATTAAACTTCGCAATTCATAATTTTATTCAATAAACAAATTTCATAGAACGATACAATGCCTTTCTATCTAACATTTGAAATTCATTATGATTTATGAACTATCTAGTTTATTTCAAGGACCCACGCGAGTCTTTCGTAGTTCGAGAATGTGCTGCCCACGGACCTAAAGAGGAGGCGTGCTACAAGGGGAAATACAGCAAAGACAGCTATCAATATATCTGCGAATGTAAAAACGCTGAGGGCTGTAACTCCTCTTCTCTGTCTTATAATCAAAATTGGATCATTTTAATCTGCATAATATGTATGTTTTTTCATTTGAAAAATTGAATACAAAGTGACAAGAACAATACCATTCATTACATTAAAATCGTTAAATAATATCGATTTAAAAATTCCATAAAAATTAATCAATGATAATATTATCATTACTGATTATAAATAATTGTGATAATTATATTAATCGAAAATTTTAGGATTTTGGAAACTGATTTTTATTATTTTTTGTCGTAAAATAATTTTTTCGTTTTAAGTAACTCATGAAAATAACATCTATTTCAAATAAAATGATAAGGAGGTGTGCTACAAGGGGAAATACAGCAAACACAGCTAGCAAGATCTATAAATATAAAAATGCTGAGGTCTGTAACACCTCTGTCTTGTAATCTCAATTGCCTTATTTTAAGCTACATAACTTTTACGTTTTTTCATCCAAAACATTTAACGTACACTGAGAAGACAAAAGTTTTTTGAGAAGTACGTCTTTACTTGTGTCAAAAAATTTGGGCTCGAAAATTACCAAGCGCAGAATCACACACTAAGAAAAAAAGATCTTACGCCGAGAAATTCTATAGTTGTCCGAAAAATGAGGGGAATTGCTTCATATAAAAAAACGAGTCCTCAATCAGTTCAAGTGGTTTTTGCATTAAAATATTTTAGAATTGAGGCTAAAAAACTATTAAATGAATTGATTAAATTTTACTTGGTTTGAGAAATCGCTTTCTTGTCATGAAGAAATTGTCCTGGTCTTTAGGACAAGTACAAAATTTCTTGATGAAATTTGTTTTTTTCTCAGTGCTTTTTGTTTCTTAGTGTTTATTTTGCTCTTGAAAATTTTCAAGCTACGAGTTTCTTGCTATAAATAAAGACGTACTTCTAAAAAAAATTGATCTTCTGGGTGTAAAATGATAAAAAACTACCACTCATTATAATGAATCAATCATAATCGTCATTATTCATTATTAATAACTCTGATAATTATATTAATATAAGTAAGTGGATACTTGCAGTTTTTATAAATGAGTATAGTTATTGTTGCTAATAAATTAGCAATTTGTTTCTAAATGCATTCTCCTTGTTTAAAAATTCTGATTTCACTAGTCTAATTGATGCCATCGAAATTTTTGCGTACTATTTCGTTCTATCAAAAGATTCTATATTTAGACCCTCTCAAGACTCGAATTTGTTTTCAGTCAGAGTTTAATCAAGATTCAATCAGGGTTTAATGAGGAGTTAGTCGGGACCATCACACAATATGAGATGAAGATTCTCATATAAATAGCACATGACGCTATTGTATAACTTGATATGCAATGATGCTGTTCTCGCCATCTTTCAACTTGATTAACCCGTCAGCACTCGCGCCATTTCATCAAGAACCTTTACTCGCCCCGCGAGAGAATCTCACACGCTCCCCGTCCGAGCTCGATAAAATATTTTTTTTTATAATTTAATAAAACATGCTAGACGGTTTTTATTGACCCCAAAGGAAAGAGGGATAGATGCTTGAGGTGATGAAAAAGTTTCAGTCCAAAATCTCAATTTTTCGATTATATTCCCTATACCCTGAAAATTTTTGGAAGAGAGTCATATAGCGCGAGTGCTGACGGGTTAAGAAGATTGAAATAATTGTCTCTGTTGAGAAAATCAAAGTGTCTGATTGTGTTTCTTGTTTTTTAAAGACTCTGAACTCATTCCATATCCTTCAACTTTTTCAAGAGTCTTTTGATACTCTTTATAATTGACAGATGTATTTTTTCAACTGAACTAAATACAATTTATTGATAATTATCTATTGTGTTCCTGGATTTATATAAAATTGCAACAGGTTATTGGCCCAGGGCTCGTTTGAACTGGGAGGAATAATATAAATAAAAACCAAGAACACGTTGAAATTCTGTAACGTCAGCTGAGAATTGAGAGATGGCGTCGCTTGATTTCAAAGCTCGTATTGAGAAGTTGGAGGGTGCCGTGAACTGGACGGGATGGAAGAGACAAGTGTTGTTGCTGCTACGCCACCACGAAGTTCTTGATGTCGTAACGGGTCCAGTGAAAGTGCCGGACCAACTGCCTGCTGTAGTAGCGCCAGATCAAACAGCTGAGTACAATACAGAATTGAAGAAATATCATAAACTCGACACTCTAGCTCAATTAATTATTGTTGGGAGCCTCAACCAAGAACATGTTGATATAACATCAACTTGTGATTCGGCGAAACTGACATGGGACAAAATGACTTCTATCTACGAACAGAGTTTAAGTCAACGTTTTGATCGTTTGATGGAGCAGTTTTTCATGAATGACAGAGTGAATACTGAGAATATAACAACGCATATTGGGCGACTGGAGAGGAATTTTCGTGAACTGAACGATGAATTGAAGAAAATCAGTAATACTGAATTACTGGAGTTATTACTGACCAGTCGAATTATGTCAACTCTTCCATCAGAGTATTTTGAATTCAAGAGTGTTTGGGAATCCATTCCAGTGGCTGATCGTACAGTGAACAAATTAACTGAGAGATTACGACTGATTGAAATGAGATTATCCACAAAAAGTAATGAAACTGAGGCTTTGATGGCTAAAGCTGGGAACAAGAAGAAAACTGAGAAGTTTGATAAGAAGTCCCTGAAATGCTACAAATGTCACGAAGTTGGACATTTCACAAGAGAATGTCCAGAGAAGAAAGCCGAGAATACAAAATCCACACAAGACAAAAAAAAAATTCACACAAGGACAGGAAAAGAGAAGGTGAAGCCTTCGTGTCCACAGCAGGAGAGTTACTAAGAGAGAACGAATGGTTTGCTGACTCGGGAGCATCAGCACACATGACGAGTCACAAAGAGTACTTCGTAACATATGAGTCCTTCAATACTCCGAAGCAAGTTATCGTAGGAAATAAAGAAGTTATCTTGGCCTATGGGAGTGGGACGATAAATGTTGAAATGAAGATTCATGGTAACAATGATCAGAATTATTTCCAAGACGTGTGGTTCGTACCTGAAATTGGGAGGAATTTATTTTCGATTAGTCAAAATATCGAAAAGGGTTTCGGGTTCAAGGCAAATCACCATGGTTACGAGTTTATCAAAGGTCGAACTGTTCGAATAACTGGGGAACAAACTTCAAGAGGACTGTATGCTCTGAATATGAGAGTTCTTGTGCCAGAGGAAGCTACGGAGATTCATGTTGCTTCATCGACTGAAACATTGCAGTTGTGGCATGAGCGTTTGGGTCACCAAGGAAAAAGTCATGTGAAACGAATCCTGAAGACACGAGGAATTGAAGTGAGTGTTGACGACGAGTTTTGCGATGCACGTATGTATGGAAAGCAACATCGAGAAACTTTCCATTCACGACCAAACACCAACAGAATCGGGAGGATTGATTCATGCTGATGTTTGTGGACCGATGCAAACAGACTCTATTGGTGGATCACGCTATTTCGTAGTCTTCAAGCATGATTTTTCAAAGTACCGCCGAGTATTTTTCATGAAAGAAAAATCGGAAGTTACTCAATGCCTGATAACATTCCTGAATGAAGCTTCAGTGGCTGGAGTTTCTGCCAAAGAATTCTTGAGCGATTATGGGAAAGAATTTGATAATTCAGGGGTAAGGAATTTATTGCAATCGAAGGGAATTTCGATTCGGAAGTCGATGCCGCATACTCCTCAAGAGAATGGAGCTGCCGAGCGAGAGAATCATATTCTGGAAGAAAGTGCACGCTCCATGATCCATGCTAAGAATTTACCAGTTTATCTTTGGGGAGAGGCAGTCAATACAGCAGCGTACGTTCTCAACAGGACTAGTCCAACTAGTGTGAAGGGCAAGAGTCCTTTGAAGTTGTGGTCCGGAGGAGAAGCTGCAGACATTGATCATCTTTGTGTATTTGGTACCGAATGTTTTGTTCATGTTCCTCAACAGAAGAGGCAGAAGTGGGATAAAAAGAGTAAGGAAGGTCAACTCGTTGGATATTGTGGAGACAAAAATGGCTACAGAATTTGATTTTCCAAAGAGAAGAAAGTTGCAGAAGTTGAAGAAGAAAAGTGCAGTCGAGATGTTGTCTTCAAATCAGAGAGTTTGGTCAAAGAAAGAGTTACTCTTACACTTCAGCCGGTTCCTGGAGTAGTTGAGGAAAATGAAAAAGGAGGAGATATTCGTGACGATGATGATCAAGCTGAAGAAGAAGGTGTACCTGTCGGTGAAATACCAGTGGCGGCAGAGCCAATCACTTCCCCACGATCAACGCGAGAAGTTCGAAGGCCAGGCTGGCTTAGTGGCTTCGTGCTGATGGCAGAAGAGGCATGTCCTGATTCATATAGATCGGCAATGCAGTCTGAGGAAGCTGATAAATGGTCTGAAGCAATGGATGATGAAATGGCGTCATTGAATGAGAATGAGACATGGACGCTGGTAGAATTACCAACAGGAGAAAAAGTGGTGCAGAATCGCTGGGTTTATCGAGTGAAATTGAAGGCTGATGGAAGTCTCGATCGGTATAAAGCCAGACTGGTCGCTAAAGGTTATACTCAGAGAGCAGGAATTGACTACGACGAAACTTTCAGTCCTGTCGCTCGATTTGATACAGTGAGAGTAGTATTGAATGAAGCAGCACGTGAAAAACTGCACCTGAAGCAATTTGATGTGAATACAGAATTTGTTGTGAATACTTTCTGTATGGACAACTGCATGAACGTGTTTACATGAGACAACCAGAAGGTTACGACGATGGTTCTCAGCGTGTATGCAAATTGAATCGCAGTCTATATGGGCTGAAACAAGCACCTCGGTGCTGGAATCAAAGATTTGTAGAATTTGTCAAGAAACAAGGATTGATTAGTAGTCACACTGATCCCTGTCTTTTCGTGAGAAAGAGAAACAACAAGAAGTTATTTATTGTCCTCTACATTGATGATGGGCTTGTTGCTGGAACAAGTTAGGTGGAGTTAGGAGAAGTTAGGCTGTTTATGGAGCAGTTGAAGAAAGAGTTTCATATCACGACTGGATCACTTGACACTTTTCTTGGAATGCAAATTCTATGTCTGGAAGAT